GTTTATGTAGGCTAGAAAATAATATGTTTTGTAATATTTTAATCCTTTATATTTATTTCCTATATATTTATATATATATATATATATATATATATATATATATATATATATATATATATATCCTTATTATATCTCAAATATATCCTTAATATTTAAATGTTTTCATATGTAAAGATATTTGCGTATTGCTCTACATCTTGTGTGTAGGCTATTAATTCAATTCAATTCAATTCAGCTTTATTTGTATAGCGCTTTTACAATGTCGATTGTGTCAAAGCAGCTTCACATAAATAGTCATAGTAACTGGAACAGTGTAGTTCAGTTTTTTAGTGTTTAAGTTCAGTTCAGTTCAGTTTAGCTCAGTTCAGTGTGATTTAATCATTACGGAGAGTTCAAACACTGAAGAGCAAATTAATCGATGCGTAGCTCTACCAATCCTGAACCATGCAAGCCAGTGGCGACAGCGGATTAAGCATTGTGTAAGCGAGGCGCAACTCTGCGCTGGAGTTTAGACCGGGTTTGTTTTGGTCTAGTAAAAAGTTTCTCAAAATAGCAACGCGTCAGCAGTGCGCCTCAGAACGCCTTCCTTTCTAGACCAGGGGCCTCATGTATCAACGCTGCGTACGCACAAAAGCTTTGCGTACGCCAGGTTTCACGCTCAGAATCGCTCACGTTTGGATTTACTAACAATGAACTGAACGTGGGAATGTGCGCAGCTTCACGGCAGCTTTTTGGCAGGCGTACGCACATTTTTTGTGCGTGTCTGTTTTATTTCCATTGGCGACTCCTAGAGGCAGTTGTGTTAAATTCCTCTCTACAAAGTGTCTGAGCCTTGCAATGGCAGCTGTATGAGACGGGTTCAGCAGGTATATAAGGTTTCCATACCATACAGTTGACCAGCTAAACATTAAAGCACAATTTGCAGCGATCGCCTGTTTTCCCAATGTAATCTGAGCGATCTACTGCACGCACATTGCTATAAAGACACTATCTGAAGATGAATTTGCATGCGTGAATCAGAAACATTTCCATTCAATAAATGTGCAAATAAAATATGATGCACAGACTTATTAATGATTCCTACTTGTCTTTCTCGTGATAAATAGTAGGCAAAATCTGATATGTAGCGGGGGAAAAAGAAGAAAGAGTTCATCAGACGCTGGATTCGAACCGAGTTCAAGCTCGAACGTGTCAAAACAAGCTGCGCCACTGAGGCAGTTAAGGGTACTACAACATTGTACACCTATAAATCACACTATTTCTTTTTAATTCACTCAGTGCGATGTTCAGACCCAGCGGTGTTAACCGCATCAGCTAAACTCTCCCACTCTATTTTTTTCTTTTGTTGTTAATTCCGGAGGACAAACTTGCAAATAACACCGCTTTTCTCCGGTCTACCTCTGAAAGCAGCACCTCCAGTTCACATTCTGTTCAAAGTTTCTCTTTTTGCTTGCTTTTGCCGAGCAAAATGACACTAGCGTCAAGCTGAAACTAGCAAATAACATTTGTGCTGCGCCTTGCGCCGCATTGCGCCGGGTGTTTTAAAGGGCCCATAGTGTACACAACAATCTCTGGCCTTGCTGCATGACAAATACCAAAGTTTTAACAATTTATAAAAAAAAATGAATCACTTTCTAGCCATCGGATATAAGGCATGGGCATATATATTGCGATTGGGATTTGCGAAAGCCTTAAATCGCTTGGTAAACGTTTATTATTACCATTTCATGAGTCTCCCCATACAGTTGAATAGAGCGCTGGGACCCGGAAGCCGCTTGGCGTGACGTCACACTTAACAGGCGTAAAGTGTAGATCATTTCAGAGCAGCTTCACTGTAATAAACAGAGGTTAGGTCAGATGTTATGATGGAGGATGATAATGCTGTTGTGCTTCTGCTCTTATCTGCTCAAAGACGCTGCCGGTAATGTGGAGGGTAAGCGAAGTGTGGGTGAGTGTGTGTGTTTGCGCACACATATAAGTGTGTGTGTGCGTTTGTTGGTTGTAGTTTTTGTCTGTTATGGGGATCAGATGTTCTGTTGTCTTGTCCACATTTATGACGTAAAATCATTCATTTTCGTCCACTTATCTGGGGCCGGGTCGCGAGGGCAGCAGTCTCAGGAGAGATTCCCAGGCTTCCCTCTTCCCAGACACTTCCTTCAGCTCCTCCGGGGTGATCCCGAGGTATTCCCAGGCCAGCCGAGAGACATAGTTCCTCCAGTGTGCTCTGATGCCTCCTCCTTGTGGGACATGCCTGGAACACCTCCCTAGGTAGGCGACCAGGAGGCATCTGAAACCCGAGCCACCTCAGCTGACTTCTCTGGATGTGGAGGATCAGCGGCTCTACTCCGAGCTTCTCCCGGGTGACGGAGCTCCTCACCCTGTCTATAAGTGTGCGCCCTGCCACCCTGAGAAGTAAACTGATTTCAGCTGCTTGTATCTGAGATCTTGTCCTTTTAGTCATGACCCAAAGCTCATGAGCATAGGTGAGAGTAGGAATGTAGATTGACCAGTAAATTGAGAGCTTTGCCTTTCGGCTCAGCTCCTTCTTCACCACAACGGACCGATACATCACGCATTACTGCTGCCACTGCACCAATCCGCCTGTCAATCTCACGCTCCATCCTTCCCTTACAATATATTACAGTGGTGTTTGTGTGTATCACTTGTTTGTGGAAATAGATTTTATTGCCAATATTAGCTGAAGGTGATTAACATTTTAATATGTGGACTAATACACTCACCGGCCACTTTATTAGGTACACCTTGCTAGTATCGGGTTGGACCCCTTTTGCCTTCAGAACTGCCTTAATCCTTCGTGGCAGAGATTCAACAAGCTACTGGAAATATTCCTCAGAGATTTTGCTCCATATTGACATGATAGCATCACGCAGTTGCTGCAGATTTGTCGGCTGCACATCCATGATGCCAATGAAGGCAGGATGATCCATGCTTTCATGTTTTTGAGGCCAAATTCTGACCCGAGCATCCGAATGTGTCAGCAGAAATGGAGACTCATCAGAGCAGCAACGTTTCTCCAATCTTCTAGTGTCCAGTTTTGGTGAGTCTGTGTGAATTGTAGCCTCAGTTTCCTGTTCTGAGCGGCACCCGGTGTGCTCTTCTGCTGCTGTAGCCCATCCGCCTCAAGGTTGGACGTGTTGTGTGTTCAGAGATGCTCTTCTGCAGAGCTCGGTTGTAGCGAGTGCTTATTTGAGTTACTGTTGCCTTTCTATCAGCTGGAACCAGTCTGGCCATTCTCCTCTGACCTCTGGCATCAACAAGGCATTTGCGCCCACAGAACTGCCGCTCACTGGATATTTCCTCTTTGTCGGACCATGTAAAGCCTAGAGATGGTTGTGCGTGAAAATCCATGTAGATCAGCAGTTTCTGAAATACTCAGAGCAGCCCGTCTGGCTCCAACAAACATGCCACGTTCAAAGTCACTTAAATCCCCTTTCTTCCCCATTCTGATGCTCGCCTTGAACTGCAGCAGATCCTCTTGACCATGTCTACATGCCTAAATGCATTGAGTTGCTGCCATGTGATTGGCTGATTAGAAATTTGTGTTAACAAGCAGTTGGACAGGTGTACCTAATAAAGTGGCCGGTGAGTGTATATATTACAAAAACTTATTAGCGTTATATAAATTAATATATTATTATATTGGTAAACTATTTATATTTAAATATAGCCTTTTATTTTGAATAATAAATAATATACATTCTATAAATGTAATATATATTATCACAATATGCAGTTATCATCTATCTATCTATCTATCTATCTATCTATCTATCTATCTATCTATCTATCTATCTATCTATCTATCTATCTATCTATCTATCTATCTATCTATCTATCTGTCTGTCTGTCTGTCTGTCTGTCTGTCTGTCTGTCTGTCTGTCTGTCTGTCTGTCTGTCTGTCTGTCTGTCTGTCTGTCTGTCTGTCTGTCTGTCTGTCTGTCTGTCTATCTACTACAGTTATTGAAGTGATTTAAAGCCACCAGTGTAATGTTTTGCTGTATCTGCAGGTCGAGTGCGCACCAGACGCCAGAGTTCAGAGACGCCGACTGGAGGCGGAGCGTCTGTGACTGACAGCAGGGGGCGGAGTCGAGCCAAAGCTGCCTCCCAATCACAGCGTGAGTTTGGG